ATCCAATTTGTTAGTACAAGATACATTGCTTCCAAGCCATAAAAATTTACAATTACTTGCTCAATTATGAAGTATTGTTTAATTTTCAGAAGTCTCAACAGTTAAAAATATAAATTTCTAAATATAGAAACTAACACTTTAAATGTGTGAAAGTAAAATATTTAATAAACAGTTATAATTGTACAGAAACATTTACAATCAAATATGCATATATATATTGAAGATACAGTTATCTAGAAATCTAGCATATAAACCTCTTAGATTTAGTATATAAATTTATAATTATTGATACAATTTGAAAGTTAAAACCTAAAAAATAAAATGTATATAAAGTTGAAATATATGATGAAAGCATGAAATTTTAAAATTTGAACATGAAATTACAAATATAGTGTGTGTGTGTGTGGCTATATAGTATAGATAAATAATTTGCAAAATTTAGACTAAGAATTATTGTTTTTTTACTGCTTTACATTAATTTAAAAGTTGTGATAGACAATTTGCCATAAAAGTGAGTTTTACAGAAACAAAAATGGGACTACAGTGAAAAAAAAGAGACTACAAGGTTTTATTATTTAAGGATTATCAGAATTGTGTTTCTCACTGGCACTTTGAAAATTAAATGCTTATTAAAGAAAATACCTTCTCTCATTCTTTACATGGTATGCTATGGCAATTTAAGTTAACCAGTAGCTATGGCAACCTAGATGGAAAATATATATCACACTAATTACCAGCCGTATAGATTGAGAAATAAAGTGATTTACATAGCACATTACCTTTCCATCAAGAGAATCCCCACAAGGTACAGGTGACTCTGCTTTTCCACTGCATGAAAGGAAAGATTGTTCTTTTCCACAAATGGGTGTAGGCAAACTATCATTTGCATGGATCTAAAAAATAACAAAGTTAGTAATACCATTGAATTTTGGTCCCTGGGAAAAATCAAGCTTAAGAATTCAGCATATGTTGATAAAACTATACAGTTTTCTACATTACAGACTTACTGTAAAATTGACCTTTATTTCAAACATATTAGATAAAACACATAAAAAATATATTGCTTTGGTTTATGTTACCTTTATTATACATCATATTTCAATATTATTTATCGGAAGTTCATACTGCAACATAACAAACTCAGTAATCAATGTTTAGAGGGTCCTCTCTTACCCTTAAATTAATTACTATATTCAACAGACATGTATTATCAGTTTTGAAAATATTAAATGATGTTTTATTATTTGTGTACAATCTTCCAAAGCAACCTCTCTTTTTATAACATAAATTTTATACTGAAGTTCACAGATTTCAATTGTATTAGCATCAAGACTGTGGGCTGCCCATTTAATACTTTTCATGAATTTCTGTTCTTCTGATTTAAACACCATTTATACAGAAGGGCAGTATGTTTTGGATTATTATTTGGCTAAAATTTAAAATTAGTGCCAATTAAACATATTCACTGGGAATTGCATACTGAATCAGGATGCTATTAAACTGTTTCCTCTTCATATTAGCATCAACTTTAACAATATATTCCACTCCTATTGTAGAAAGAACATCTCAAAAATGATACAGACCTAGAAATATGTTTCAATATCCAAGCATATTCTGTACATCTGAATTTGTTCATGGAGGTGTTTTGACACCGATGTTGTAGTTATTGAGAAACAATATCTTCCCATTTGGATCTTTTTATTAAACATTATTTACTCTATATTAAATTCTAAACTCTCTGTCTAAGTACTTATCATGCAATATACTTTGTGAGCATATTTTTACTATGTACAAAGCAATAATCATTTTTCACTACTTGATTCAAAGTGAACATTTTCTTAAATTTAAAATGTATTTACTTCCTCTCACACTACAGCTATTACTCAACTGACAGGGTTTCTTCCTTTTTCACTTAAGCATTCGTCTGATTTTTTCTTGCTTGCTCCAGTCTTTTATACCTTACTTAATTGCCCCTGGCAATATTTATCTCATGACACTCTCCACCCTCTATCCTGGTATTGTATATAAGCACCTTCTTGAGATAATGTTATCACTTTTTTGAGACTGACTCTCCTTGTCCCTAACACCGGATTTTAGTGAGGAGGAAGGGCAGGAGAGCGTGAGAAGAGATAGATATTATTGGAATGAAATTTTTGATTTAAGAAAATGTTAAACTACTTACCTCCTCTCTCACTACAGCTAGAATCCCAGATTGAGAAGGTGGAGGGGTTGGTGAGGGCATTACCCATACAGAAATCATCTGCGTAGATTATGAGTATGTCAACAGAAGACTGGCACCCTAGTGGCAGGAACTGTACTAAATCCAAAACAGGTATGCTCCTCACCCAAAACTTAATTCATGTACTGTGGGTGGAAATTTACATAACTTATCATCACTATTGGCCAGGTACCAACCAGATAGCCAAGATTCCACTTTTCAGGGTTGAAATTATAGGGCCATGGTCCCTATATCCCACATTGGTGATTAGGGAAATTAGACCATAAGACATATATATATATACTTAAGAGAAGATCCCAACCTGTAGCCATAGAGTGATGTGTTCCAAGCCATTGGAATCATGACAAGAAGGTAAGAAACACCAAAGTGGACAAACCTTCTCCTCAACCTGAAGAAGCCCAAAAGGCACTACCCCAGGCTCAGAGTGATGGGATCTTGTATGCCTTACTCACTCTGAAAAAGCAGCACTCATTCAGTCTGGAATTATCGTCACTCTCCAACCATGTGGTCAAGGTAAATTCCATTTGCCCCTGGAATTATGGGGAGGACATGGAACAAACTGTGCTCAACCAAGGACCCAGGATAGGACCACTCTGCATTTGGAATTATGAGGAGACAATGGACCCTCTTCCATGAACAATGTACTCAACCAATACTGATAAAAAAGAAGAGCCACGATCAACCCAACCGGATAGGCTCCCATGTAGCCTGGTGTTTCGTCTACCAAAATCTGGGGAAAAAACATTCAGGGACACAGGCAGGAAGGAAAAGCCTCTGTCCACTACCCCAGTGACTGGAAACTTGGTGTGGTAAGGACTCCCTAGCTCCATCAGTAGAACCTGCAGGGTAATGCACATTAGGGAGTCCTGAAAAACAGTGCAAAAGGTGAAACAAGTTCCCTAAATGTTCAAAAGCAAACTTACCACACTTTATTCAATCCAATTTATTAATGATAGTCCATGAGTGGAGGTCCAGCATAGTACAGAAATACCACCCAGTCAGCCTCTAGGTGGTCTTATGGAACACCTCATTTCTCCACAGCCTGTTGCAACTGAGATTAAGTATCTTGAATTAGTGGTTGCTAGTGCAGAATTGGTTTGGCAAAAGCACACCTGCCACAAAGTGGGATCCTGTGAAAAGGAGGTAAGGAACCTTAATAAGTATAGAAAAGAGAAGAGTAGCAGTGAAAATACTCATCCCTCTGCATAATCTAGCAGAAGTGGTTAAAATAACTACAGGGGGTAGTCAAAAACTCTCAGATAAAGATACTGTCAGATCATTCAAATAATGTGATCTAAAAGTATGTCCTCCAGTGGGCAATTCAACCGGGCCACTAAAGACATAGAAATGTGAGAATACTAAACTATTACTAAACTAACAGTAAAAGGTACATATGAGATACATTATAAGGCTATCATATCTAAAGTACACCCCTGCTCCTTGCATGCTTTCCATGTCATATAGGGTACAAGAGCTGTTACATACCCTTTCCCAAAGCAATCAGTTTTCAGTGGCAACACAACGTACAAAATGGCAAGCAATGTCAAAATGTAGTTCTGATAAATAATCAAGAAGGTTCTCAGTCTGGAAAAGTACAAAAAATCACAAGTACATAAGTTGCTTCCATGACATTACCATTCAACCATCTAATACATCAAGCAGTTGGGGAATGAAATGGGCATCATGTTATTCCATATTAAAACATACAAAATAAGTTGTCAAACATTTTGCAATTGGACTGTTTAACCAACTCTGTGAATTGTCATCTTCATATACTAAATGACTTATGGAAAGTATGCAAGAAGTATAGGTGTACTTTAGATATGATAGCCTTATGATGAAGCTTACTGTAGTGGAATCAATGATGTAGAGACATTGGTAAGATACTTGGTCATCAGATAGATTGTGACAAGACATGGCAATGTGGCTAATGACATGGTGAGGCTCCAAAATTATTTTAATACGATGTACTCATACTCTATATATTACTGTACAATTTGATAGCCAGCCTAACAGCAAAATGTGCAAGAAAAAAGAAACAAATCTAATACTTCATGTATTCATACATGCATAGGATTACTAAAAATTTCACACAATAATTCTAACCTAAAGAATTATTTTTAAGCAAGGTAACACATCTTCAAAAGTTGTTCAAAATGTTGTGTTTACTGGTCTGATTTAAAAAAAAAACTAATCAATTTTATTACAAAGCTTAATAGTAAATGTTAGTTCGGTATAACAACTAGAAAAATAATATTAATAATTGACTAAAAAATCTTATCTCAGAAAAAACAAAAATAAGTCTCAATTAAACATTTACTTTATTTATAACTTTTTTTTCATTTTTTCAAATTTCCATATGCTTATTTGCCTATTTTTCAACACTATACTTAAACGTCTCTGATATCTTAACCCTATTGAGATGGGTCTGACAAGTCTTTCTATGGTCAGGAGTCAAAGGGCATGTCATCATGTTTATAGACTTACATTCAAAATTTTATTAATCTACTATTTTATGAATGTATGTCAATAAGTTTGGTATTAAATTGTAGATTATAATTCAAATTTTAGTATTATACATTAATTAATTTCTTATTTTCAAAGTAAATATAATAAAAAAACACCTAAATAACGATTTTTGTGTTTCATATGGTATGTTGAATGCAGCTTTGTTTCAAATTTGATGTTTGTGATGTCCATATACAAAGTCTACAGTTTCTTATAAATTAGAAACTCAAATTACCAATACTTACAAACTAGAATATAATATAAGAGCCTCCTATCTTTTCTATTTTCTGAGATCTTATTATATTTAGTGAATCAACCAAAGTGGCCCTGCCCACCTCTTCCATTTTTGGAAATGCTTGCACACACCTAATTTGCCCAATGATGTGTGAATAACCAATCAAAAGCTTAGAATGTCCGTGGGGAACCCTTTCTTTTTCAAAGCAGCAAGGTAAGACATTATGGAGCTCAAAAAATCATATTTTTTTAGACCCAAATACAGCTTAGTTACTAAGTGTGATAAATTGTAGTGGAATTGTGTGGTATTGATAAAGTATTTTATGATGTTTTGTTATTTCAAAATGCATATATAAAACCTAAGAAAATAATTTTCTTCTATATCCTCCATGTGTGAAATTTGACAAGATTTAGCAAATTATGGCAAGCAGCAAACAAGTACAAAGTTCATAAGTAATAACATATATACATATATAATGTATTATAACCAAACTTTGATGGTATTTTACATAATACTGGTCCACTAGAACAAAGCTAAGACAGGTCACTTTGTAAAAGCCAGTTTTATATTATTGGATACAGTAACATAAGTGCATGTGCACTGCATCATTGAAACTTCTGTAATGTTAGTGAAACACTGCTGAAAGGTCAATAAAACAAAAATAATAAATATATATATATATATATATGCATGTACATTATGAGATTTAAACTACTTAGACCAAACATTTGTGGTTTCGTGTTATAATCTGTAGTCATTCTAGAACAAAAAAAAACATAAATTATATCTATTTCCTCATTTTTTATGGTGGTTACGAGGTTGGTCAGATCGACCGAACTCATACAGAGATACAAAAGTGAAAATAACAGATAAAATATAAAGTTTTTTTTCTAAGAAAAACATTTGATAATTATTTGGAGGTTATTGGGAGATTATAGAGATTCTGCTTAAGAAATATGACAATTTTCTGATACAGAAAAGTACATTTAATCTTAAAATCAAAATTACTTTGCATGTTGCATGGTCAAAATTTGAAAAGAAAATATGCACAAGCAAATAATTAATTTAAAAATCTAATATTTTGTGTACCAATACCTCGTAACGTTTACTGATAATCTGCAAAATTTCGTGAAGGTGTACATTTTAAAAAGTTACAGTATAACTACTTTATGGCTACTTTGGGGAATATGGACTGGGTGTAATCCACCCACCCATAGTAGAAAGGTTAAAGTAAAAAAAAAAATATTTTTTTAAGTTGCTTTCACCTATAGATATTTCAATAAATGTACAGACTTCCAAAAACCAGATACATGGTAATATTCATTTATTTAAATGGAAAAATTCAATATACCAAATCCTTCATTTCAGCACAAATGGATATGTTTTTCATAAAATTGTTTTGATGTGGAGTACTTGAGTAGACCGGCTCTTTCCTTTTCTGAAGAGAAATGCAATTTTGGAATCTGTGATGTTTTTGCAAGGAGATATTATGAGGAGTTTGAATATGATAAATCAAATCCTCTGTCTCACAGTAATCTTCATCCTCACCTACATCTTCATCATGATTATAAGATGAACCAACAGCTTCAGCTATACTGGAAAAGCAAATTTAACTTATTTAGGTTTTATTTAACTTACATTTTTTTAAAATAATATTTTCAAGTGATTTCAATCTTAATAACCTACATAAGTTATATGTTAAATTAAATGTTCTTTAACCATATACACTTGTAACCATATATCTGCAAAATGAACAGTTTGTAGTATCCAATTACAGATAAAACAAACTAATAAAGAATGAAGCATTTATAACCCCATAACTAAATCAATGATGCAATAGTTTTTTTACAAATTATTGTTATAGCAGGTTGCTTAAATTCATTACTGGTAAAAAAAAAAAAAACATGACAAACAGTAACACACATTTGACTCTTCTATTCAGTAAAATGATCCACAAAATAACTCATATTAAAAATAAACAATCTGTCAAAAACTAGCTTAGTGACCTTATTGCAGTTTTGTATGAGTATTTAGATGTCAGGGTAAAAAATTTAGCATTTATAGGAAAAATATATAAGGCCCTTTTTAGTTACTGCATTTTAAAAATTTACAATGGATGAATGTACATAACCATAATGGCAGAATGCTAGTATACTTTCAGAACATGGGTAACTTACTTTTCTATGAAAACAAAAAAAAATCAAATTTCAAAACTAGAAGCTTACAAAAGTAACAATGAAATATACTTCTAGCAAACAAATATAATATAATATTGTCATGATGACTGACCAGACTCCTTTGATCAGTTACTATTTACAAAATTATTTAAAAAAAACATACATCTTCATGATATTCTTAAAGTTAATGCTTTCCTTACCTGAAAATGTATATTCGATAGATACCTCCACAAACCATTTCATTTTTTGAAACTTAATTAAATTCTAATGTATGAAGTGAATGAATCAATTAAATGTAACTCTTTGCCACAAGAGTACGGCATAAACTTATATTCTCAACTTGTGATAACTATACAACTACACAAAATGCTAACAGACTCACTTTATATCATCTACCTACAAAATCCTTAATTAAAATAACATTAACAAACAAAATGATATTATGTATTCTTTCTCAATAGATTTCACATATTGAAATAAAGATTTTCAAACTCTCTAACTAATGTTTTATAAATGTTAAGTGAACACCAGAACAACTAGTCAGGATGATACACTTATAATACCTATTTACTACCTACCTTGATAGCATGAGTAGCATGGGTTGACTATTATAAACAATTTAAATAACAAGTAGACATAAGTATTCAAAATACCTTTATCTAGCTGTAATAAGAACACATGGAAAAAGTGTATCTACACATATTATCAAGATACTTGGAAATGTGTACACACATAGGATTAGAGCATTTGACTCAATTTGTTTCAAATAACTTATTATTTTAAAATGTTGAAGTCATCAGAAAGTGAAATTAAAAACAGTTCTAGTAATATACATTTTTTTCTAAGTAACAGCTAGCTAATTTATGGTTTATATGTATCCTGTTTCAGGTCCAAATAAAAATTAATAACTAGAAGATCTAGTACTTAAACACCATATAGTATACACTCACGCACACACACACACATACATACATATATATATACTACACATACCTTTGTATTTCTTCTTGGGCTTTATATAACTCTACCTCAAGAATAGATTTGTCTTGCTGAAGAACCTGAGTATATTCATTATCAGCACATTTTACATAAAGTTACATTTAAAGACCAACTTTGAAAACAATTTTACATATACAGGTGTAAGTACTATAACTTTTGGTTTTGAGAACATACAAATGTGACAAGTACTAATGTAATTTCCCCTGAATAACATACCTGTAAAATAGTTACACATGTAGATTATAAATTTTCCAGTTAGCTAAATCAATTACTTTCTCTTAAATACTTTTAATCATATGAAGACATGAAGAACACAAAACATTTCTATGTAATTTTTACTAGTTGTACATTATTTACTATTACCGTTCTTAGTTCTATTGTTTTGATTTTAAAATTACTAAAAAAAATATTCAGTGCTGAAGGGTTTTAATTATGTTTCACTAAGCAGCATTAAAAAAATACCTTTGAATATTTTTAATGATATGTTATTTTCCAATAATGACAACATACAGTAAATACACATGGACAAACACTGTACATATGTATAAAACCAAGTTCTCACACCTTAGCTTTTGAAAGATTTAATAAAAGTAATTCCATTTACTAGATGAACTAACTGTACAATCTCTTTATCATCTTAGCATATACATTTTGGTTAATGTTTGTGATTTTACTAGTTATAATGACAAAGAAAGTTGTTTTTAAAAAAAATCCATAATAACACACGATGTAAAATTATCTACCTCATTTGCTTTAGTATATTCTTTTACCACCTGGTGAAGTTCTTCACACACACTAGTTTTCTGTAATTATCATAATGCAATATTATTTTAATATAATTACATGTTTTACACACAGAACTTCAATGACCATAAGTAAAGATAGACACTAAATAATAATAACTTATGAATAGTTTCGGAATCTTATTAAATTTACAAGGCTGAAAAAATGAATGAATTAGTTAACTTAACAAAAATGTATACCCTACAAAATACACATTAATAGAAAATAGTGTACATTAAGAGATACAATACAAATTTAATAAAAACTTTTAAAATGTAATAAATCTGGAGAAAATAAGAAATACAGAGAATTCTACATATTTTAATTTTGGTAATACATTCTACATAAACTTAAATACAGATGTATTATATAACTAAACTATTTTTTCATAAAATATTCTTAAAATTGTCAGCTAACTACAACAAAATATTAGGTGAGAGAGTTATATATGTATTCTGTATATTGTGGTTACAAAGTATAAAAAAATGCTACTGTCGAAGTTAATGTGAATAACAGATTTATTAGCACACATTCATTATTTTATGCATCTTAGAATTTTGTTCTTACACATCAGTGCTAATGAATGAAAGTTTAAACGTTTCTGGGAAAATTATTGATAAAAGATAACATTTTACAAAAATGGGGGAAATAGCTGTTTAAATGGGATGAATGTCTATTAAATTGTACAAAAAATCTGAGAAAACTGAAAAGAACTATTTTGATAATGAATTTATAAAAATGATTAGGAATAATGAGTAGTTTCATTTTTATGGCTAATTTATACAAGATAATACAGTAATTTTAGTTTCAGATGAAAAAAAGAACAAAGTGTTGTTGAATATTACTAGACAAAACTAATTTTTCAAGTGCTGAATTCTTCAGGGGCAAACTGGGAATCAGTTTTAATTATTTTAATTATTCGTGCACTGAAAATTATAAGAAGATAAATTCAAATACTTTTTAACAAATGTGATATTTGTTCTTTCACAATAATATACTATGTATTTATATTCTATGTTATTAGAAATTAAAATAAACCTGTTTCAACTAACCTCTTCCAATTCCATTTTCCATATTTCTTTTTGTTGTATTAGATCTTGAACTTGATCTTCTAAAAATATTACAAGTTCTTCTTCCTTCTTATATTTTTCTAGCATTGAGTTAGTCATAAGGAGCTACAAATGATATGTGCACACATCAAATACATATTTAATCAAACACTTAAAACTATTCACAAACAAAATAATGATACAACTGTTTCATTTCATGTATTTTCTTGTGGAAAAATATGATGTTATAACCACTAAACGAACTTTTTAGTTGTGTGTTACTACAACAGAAACAAACCTATTTCTTAACTTTCTATTTACTTTTATTGCATAACATAAATTAAATCCTTCTCTACCATTTGGTAGACCAGCTTTAATTTTTTTCCCCAGCTATCAGAATTGGATTTTACTACACCAGTTTCATAGTGAAACTTTTAAATAAAAGCAGACTTAATTTATAAAAATAGGTATATAAAATCAGTATTAATGCAATTTTTGATATACAATGTACTCCCCTAATAAACAGAATCAACAACTTTTTATTTATTTTATTCTCTTTTTTTACCTATATATATATGTTGTATAAATTCTCCACATTTAAAACATACAGGCTAAATCAAATTAATACAAGCCATTTTTTAAAGTTTTGACTTATGATACACTAATGTTCAAAATCTTAAGTTTTTCCACAGACTTTCTAAACTTTAGCAGTTTTATTATCCTACTACACTTTAATCAAACATTTCATTCCAATACTGAAAAATAAAGTTATTTTCTTTTTTCTATAGCCAGTTAAACCTGTTGTTACGACAGTAGAAGTCACATGTTGCTGGTAACACGTGATGAGTTTCTAGAAGGATCATGAAGGCCTGAGCATTTTCTAGGCACCCTCTATTTTAATATATAAGCCCAGCAAATAAAGCGGAGAGCAGAAGTGATAGCATACAGAATAGCAGACAGGGAGATAAAGAGACAGATAATCGAGTCAAGTGAGCGGTAGTGACCGTAAGTAAAGTGCGTGAATCGTTGTGTGTGTTTAAGTTAAAGTGACTGTGGAAATTAAGTGTATTACAAAGTTTGTAATGAGAAAGAATAAGCTAGTTTTAATTAAGAAAAGCCTTGTATCGCTGAAGTTTCATCAGAAAGAAATTATACAGAAAATTATCAAAGGAACAGAGACGTAACAAATTGGTGTCAGAGAGTGGGACGGAAAAAAAAAATTAAAATGAGAAGTGGCAAATCAAACTAAGACTTAGCAGATTTGATGGCAGCAATACAAGAACAGCAAAAGAAACAAGAAGAATGAGAAAATAAACGAGAAAAGAAACAAGAAGAGAGACAACAGCAGTGGCAAGAAAACCTGCAAAATTGGCAACTCGAATAGCAAAATAAACTTGAGAGATTACAGCAGTTGTTGGAGGAAAAAGAAAAGAAACAAGAAGAGAGACTACAGCAGTTGTTAGGAGAAAGAAAATAAACAAGAAGAGAGACT